TTGTATGCTCAGGAGAAGTGTTTCAAAGTTTACCTTCTGCCAATTATGTGCTGTGCCACCTATAATCCAGCACTATTAGATCCAGACGTACTGTGTTCTAGCTCCACTGGCAGACCTATTTCAACTCTGTATCACACCTCCTGCCGATTCTTGTGGGTTCACATAGGCAACCGACCCTCAACCCTCAGCCTTTTGGTTTTGCACTGCCCTATGCCTGGGAAAAGTGTTACAAATTTGCCACATCTTGATCTTACTCTCAAGTAAGAATTTCTAGTCCTAAGGAAACAACACTCTTTGTTCCTTCTCTTTTGATGTAGTGTGATTCCTTTTTTCTATTCCATTTAAACCTAGAGATGGTAAAAATGGACCAATGCCAACATTAGCAGTCTACACATCTTATTTGCACACTGCCACTCAAAAGGTGCTATTTACCTTATTTATACTATTAGCAAGCTATACAAACCCTCTAGGGAGCCATAAACACCTGACATTTGCATAGTCCTACTTAGCCATGGCTTGAGCATCACGGAAGATGGCATGAGGATGACACAGGACAGGGCAGCGTTCAGATCTGTCATCCACAGGGTCACAGTTAGCTACTGGCACCTAGCATCAACAGGAAGCTTTGTGGCTTAGTGGTGAGAAATTGCATTACCAATCTAAATGCACGTGGGTTCAAATAAACCAGCAGCTCTGTGTGAGAAAGATGAGCTATCTCCTCCTGTTTGATATACAGCCCTGAAAACGTACTGGGGGGTTCCAACTTGATGGTTACAAAATGACAACAAACAATTCAGCCATGTAGTGAGAGTTAAAATCATACTGAATAGAAAAGTCATACTGACTAATCCACTATTGTGCACTGGATATGGGTAGAATTTAAAAAGTAAATGAACAGAAAGCTTTGAGTATAGTGTGTGGGCTTCACTGTAGTGGAAGTTGTTACTATTATTTTAGTTCTAGTGATAAACTAGGGAAGATACAGCCCTGCTCTTTCACATTTTATAATCTAAGAGGATACAATCTGAGATTAAAATAACAACGGTAAGGAAATGGAAGAGTACTAAATGTCCCATAACTATCAAAAGAGCAAGCAAATCTGTATTGGAGGAAGTGCAGACAGTACGTTCCTTAGAGACAAGGATGATGAAACTTTGCCTCACGTCCTTTGGGCATGCTGTCAGGAGGGGACAGTCCTTGGAGGCGGACATCATGCTGGGAAGGGTGGAGGAGGGTCAGAAGGAGAGGAAGATCCCCATCGCAATGCACTGACGCAGTAAAGGTAACAGTGTGTCTGCACATGGCAGAGCTTATGAGGATAGTGCAAGATAGGGCAGGATCTGTTGTACACAGGGCTGCTTAGTCACAGCTCACTCGGTGGCACTAACAGCAACAACAGTAACTGCTAATGAGGGAGCTTGGGAAGCCTTGTGGAATGGAGTTGTGCTGTCAACCCAGAGGGTGGAGATTCAAGTCTATCAGACACCAAAAAAATGGGTAATCTCCTCTCAAGAGATTTGCTGAAGTTGTGTGCCACTGAGTTGGAACGGAATCACAGCAGACTCTGAAGCAGGTTTTCAGAGGCAGTAAACTGCAAAGGAGTAGACTGCCCATTCTTCTCCCATGGAGAAGCAAGTGGCTTTGAACTGTATGCCTCTGGGATGTAGCTTCTTACCACTAGGACACTAACCTGTCAGCTATGTCAGTTTTGACTCCATAGCAATGTGTGTGTAAGAGGGACGGCTAATAGCATTTAGCATTTATTTAGAATTTATTGTGACCAAAGCATTATTCTAAGCACTACTCACGTTACCTCAATAAACAGCCCTTACAACAAACCTGAGGCAAGAAATGAGGGTCAATATGTCATTGTGTGCTATCAAGTTGGCTCCAACTGGTATTAATCCTATGTACATCACAACTAAACACTGTCCAATCCTGAGTCATGTTCACAATCCCTGCTGTGCTCAAGAGCATTGGTGCTGCCATTTCAATCAGATCCTTCGGCTTTTTCTTGGCCAATCTACTTTGTTGTTGTGTTATTGTTTGTTGCCATCAAGTCGAGTATGACTCATAGCGACCCAATGAACAAAAGATCTGAACTGTGTTCTATCCTGTGCCATCCTCACAATTCCTGATATACAAGAGCCCACTGCAGCAGTCACCGTGTCAATCCACCTGGATGAGGATCTTTCTCTCCATGCGTAATGTCTTTCTTGAGGAACTGGCCCTTCCTCATTACAGGTCCAAAGTATATGAGACAAAATCTTACTATTTTGACTTTTTTTAAAAAAATTTCATTATATTTTGTGTGTGTATTGTCAAATCGGATCTGACTGTACAGGAAGAGATTGCCCCTCCTTCTCCAGCAGAGCATCTGGTGGATTTGAACCGTGTGCCTCTGGCATTGCAGTGCAGCTTCTTGCTACTAGGCCACCAGAGCTCCCTACTATTTTCACTTTTAAGAAGCATTCTTAGTCACATTTCTTCCAGACAGATCGCATTATTCTTTTGAGTCCATGTTAACAACAATATTTTTTGCTAAAAAACACAATTCAAGGCATCAATTCCTCTTCGGTTGTCCTTATTCACTGTCCAATATGTATGTGCATATAAGGCAAGTGAAAATTACATTAGGTCAGGCACACCTCATTCTTCAAGGGAAGATCCTTGCTTCTTATCAATTCAAAGTGGCCCTTTGCAGCAAAACTTCCCAGAGAAATAGGCCATATGACTGCTTGACTATTGTTTCCCTGGGTTTTGACTGTGGATACAAGTAAAATGAAATCCTTGACCACTGCAATCACCATGGTTTGTTTATTGGTCCAGTTGTGATAAGTTTTGTGTTCTTTATTTTGAATTGTAATCCATATTAAAAGTTACAGTCTTCAAGCTTCATTAGTAAATGCTTCAAATCATCTTCATTTTCTACAAGCAAGCTTATGCCACTGTCATGATACAAGTTTTCTTATGAATGTTCTTCTAGTCTTGTTGCCACATTCTTCTTATGATAGGCCAGCTTCTCAGATTATTTGTTCAGCATACAGATTGGGCATGGTATGGTGAAAGGATACAATTCTGTCATGCACTTGATTTTAACCATGCATCTTCTTGTTCTGTTTAACGACTGGGCTAAATGACTACGCACAGGTTCTGCATTATCACAGAGTCCTGGAAATTTCCATTCTGCACTATGTTAACTATATCTTGTTATGAGTCACACAGTCAAACGCCTTTGCATAATCAACAAGAGTAAACATCTTTCTGGTATTCTCTGCTTCCAGCCACAATCCATCTGATGACAGCAATGACAGCCCTACTTACAAACCCTTTTCTTAATCCAGCTTGATTTTCTGTCAGTTCCATGTGAACGTACTGCTCTAGTTGTTTTTGAATAGTCTTCAGCAAGACTTTCCTTGTATATGGTATTAATGACACTGTTTGATAATTCCCACATTCTATTATGCCTTTCTTTGAAATGGAAATATGGTTAGCTTTATGGTTAGTCTTTCAGCTTCTTGGCATGAGACAAGTGAGCACACCCAGGATTGCATCTATTTCTTGAAACACCTTAGCTGGTGTTCTGCAAGTACCTCAAGTCTCATTTTTGCCAATGCCTCAGTGCGGATTGAATGTCTTCTTTCATTACAACTGGTTTTGGATCATATGCTACATCCTAAAATGGCTCCACATCCACCAGTTCCCTTTGGTGTGGTGCCTCTGTGCGTTCCTTCCATCATCTATTAATTCCCTTTTGGTTTTCTAACTATAAGTCTTTACACACTTTGTTAGAATATTTAGTTTTGTCTTCTTGAGCTGCCTTTTAAAATCCATGTAGCTCTCTTACGTCCTCATTTCTTCCTTTAACTTCTCCATGTGCTAGTGCAAGTTTCAGAGACTTCTGACATCCACTACAGTCTTTTCCTTCTTTCTTATCTTTTCAATAACCGTTTATTTTCTTCATTTTTTTGAGGGTCACTATAGTGCTACTGTCAGAGACCTCTCCAAAGTACTGAAGAGCAACAATGTCAGTCTGGACACTAAGGTGTACCTGATATAGGCCATGGTCTTTGAAATTACTTGGTATCCATCAGTAAGCTTAGGATGACAGAAGGAGAGTTGGTGCCTTTGAGCTGTGGTGGAGAAGGGTACTGAATGTACGATGGATGGCTAGGAGAACAAACAAGTTCATCCTGGAGATGGTAAAGCCAGGCTGCTCCTTGGAGGCAAGGATTCTGAAGCTTCATCTGACATACTTTGGACATGATGCAAGATGGGATCAGTCCTTGGAGAGGGACATGCTTGGGAGATGGAGGGACAGCACAGGAAAGGAAGACCCTGAATGAGGCGGATTGATTCAGTGACTGGGGTAATAGGGATCGGTGTGTTGGAAACAATAAGACTGGCAGAAGGTAGAGCAGAATTTAGGGCTGTTGTACACAAGGTTGCTATGAGTCGTAGGCGACTCGACGGTATATAACAACAACAAATAGTGCTATAAGCCCTCTTGAGTGATCAGGAAAGTACTTTCTTGGAATAAATAACACTACCCAGGTAGAAAAAGGAAGGAAAATGGCACTGGAATGATGAAATGTTCTAAGGAAAAGAAATTCCATGCATGAATGCTCAGAGTTAAGAATGTACATACCAAAGAACAGAAAGAAGCAAGATGTTCAGTTCAGGTAATGTCTATGTGAAGTATAGTTACAAGAAGGTGCACTGCAATCCTGAAGGCACAATGCTCAAATCCACTAGCTATTCCACAAGCAAAAGATGGGCAATCTCCTCCAATGAAATTAACTGACTCTGAAAACATTCCAAAGGGTCAGTTATGGGTTGGTTCTGACTCAATGGTTCTCAACAATAATGACAATATATACCCCATTATGAAATAAAGTAGTTACTAGAGTGATATAAAAAGATGTTCTTGAAGGCAGAGATCATGCAGAAGAGCAACACAACAGCAGTATGTTGGTGGATAATATCCTGAAAAAGCCCACCTGTTAGCAGCAGCCTGTACTGGGGGATCCTCTGAACAGGTTTGAGCAGGTAGTGCTTGAGGGCCAGATTAGCACAGCGTGGGCTCATCTGAAAGGAAAAAAGGTTTCTAAAGTAAACATACGTATTTTAAAAAGACTGGGGATCTACTTCGACACTGGTAGCCTGGTGGCAAGAAGCTGTGGCAAGGAGATGTGCTGCAATTCTGAAGGCACGTGGTTCAAGCCCACCAGGTGCTCTGTGGTAGAAGTATCAGTTCTGATTGTATGGTGCACAACAACAACATGGGAAGATTCTAATCTGATCCAGATGAGGCTGTCATGATTTGGAGCAAACACAACAACTGGTTTAAGCGACTCAGAAGGAGAACAGCCAGTATTCAGGAAGGGATTCATCCCAAGGCAACCTTCTATTTTAAGGTATAGCTATTAGGCTAAGAGAGTATAACTGGCCAGATTCACTACCCAGCCCAGCCATCTCTTTATGGCAGTCTTTTTAAACCACCCACTGACTAACAGGAAAGCCTGTTTGCCATCTTCTCACACAGCAAAGCAGCCAGTCTCCATTCCAGGTCAGCTAGAGATCACCCACCTCAGCAGCTCCCACTTAGAGAAACATATAAATAAGTGCAAGCAAATCCCAAAGAAGCAAGAAGAAAATACAGTGGCTCCCAAACAAGGATGTAGAAAACCCCCCAACAAACTACAGGTAATTGGATTCAAATGAGAGCTTTGTGCTGATTACACTGATGATAGTAACAAGGTGGGTCAAACAGTTATGGAAATGACCAACAAAACCAATTCATTGCCAACAAGTGGTTTCAACTCTTAGAAACCCTATAGGACAGAACAGAACTGCCCCAGAAGATTTCCAAGACTGAAAATCAGTCTAGAAGCCTCATTCCTCTCCCCTGAAGCAGCTTGTGACAGTGACCCACAGGATAGCACGTTAATGTGTTAACCACAGTACTGCCAGAGTGCCTGCAGAAGATGACAGCAACTAAAAAGCTGTCATGCCAAACATCTCCCCTCTGACAAGCCTGAAGGACGTAAAAATCCTTCTCTTATAAATGGCTGTAACTGACAACCATCAAAATTAAAGCCGATCTACGGACAACCTGGAAGCATTTTTACTTGACCAGAAGGACATTCTGATGCTGCCTCTTTTCTGCAGTATGTTTAACAGAGACCTCCTCTGACTACGACTGAACATTCTCCAACCAAGGGATTTGCTGTAAGGCGACACTGAAATAGCCAAGCGAAAATGTCCCTGCACTTTAAGGGCCACAATAAAAAGTCCTCCGGCTCCTTCTGCAGCTCACATGAGTAAGTGAATTTATTTTTTAAGATTTTCTCAGACTTTTACTTTATCCTAAATATACACCTACAGTGTCTGACACACAGTAATTATGAAATTATCATGATAATGTGTATTAAGACAGCGTCCTTCACGTAAGCACCATTAACCACCAAGAGAGCTAACTAACTCTTCCCTGTTTTTATATCTGTTGCCAAGGCAACGGAACAACTCAGTGGACACTGACCAAACCCTGATCAATTATCACTTGTCACAGCTACGGTCCACTTTTAAACAGCATGGAGATATCATGCATGGAGAGTGGAGAAATGGAGAGTGCAAATCATTTTAAAAGCTCAACTATTAGCCTACCTAATAGTAGAATTAGAAATTAGAAATCAACAGGACTTTATAATACTAGTAGTCTCTAATTTAGTACATACCTGAGTTATGATGAACCACTATTGAACCTAGCCTTTATTTGGGGTTTTGGTTGCTTGTTTTTTTTCTGTAGGCATGGCTACATAGTAACCCTAATAATGTTGTATTCATGTTAGTACAAAATACAGCAGCACTACAGCAGAATATTTATTGATGTTATTCTTCTCAGATGCTCACTAACTCAGATGTTTATATGTAATGTTTCCAAAATCCAAAGACAAACACATGCCTGATTTATAAAGAGACTGATAATGCAAGGTGGTAATTAAAACAAACAAACAAAAAGAGGTATTTGGTTTAGGTCAGACCTCATTTCAGGTAGACTCATCAGAATAAAACCTCTTTGGAAATCAGGAACTACCTAAACCATATAGTAACTTAGATTTTATTCTCAAATTAGAGAAAGAATATTGACAAACATTTTATGGTAACCAATTAAAAACTAATTTATAAGAAAATGCTTCTATTATTTTTTTAATCTCTAATCAATTAGGTTCATACCTCACAGTTTTGAGTTAAATACCAGTTTATATATGTCGTAAATACATGATTGATTTTTCTGAACTTTTTTTTTTTTTTTAATTTTTGTGTGAATGTACCGTCAAATCAGATCTGACTGGTACAGGAGGAGACTGTCCCTCCTTTTCCCGGCAGAGCATCTGGTGGATTCGAACCGTGTGCCTCTGGGATTGTAGTTGCAGCTCCTTGCCACTAGGCCACCAGAGCTCCCCTTTTTCTGAACTTTTAACAACAAAATTCTGCTAGTTAGTTATCGGAAAGGAAACGTAAACTCTTTCGCCATCCATTAGGGAGGTGAGCTGTTTGCAGAACAAAAGGAATAATCGAGTCAAAAAAGAAGAAATGTTCAACTTCAGAGAGTAGTGACTACCTCAAAGTCTCGAAGGACAGCAGCGAAGCCTGGGTTTTTCTTGCTCTGCTCATCCAGCAAAGCGATGTTTTTATCAAACTCTTTGATGTATGTCGAATACATTTTTAAATATGGTCCCTTCTTTACAAAGATGTCAGCAATTCTTTGCTGTTCAGTCCTAAAGGTGGAAAAAAGATATATAAACATAAAAGGATGTTAATGATTTATCTAAGACATATTCAATGTTGAGTAAAGAAGATCCTTAGGAACTTTTCTTTCACTCCTCTTACAAAATAGATTTTTTAAAAAAATTTAAAGATTTTTTTTTTCTTTTCTTGTTGTGTTCCATCAAATCAGATCTGATTGGCACAGAAGGAGATTGCCCCTCTTCCTCCAGCCGTGCATCTGGTAGATTCAAACCATATGCCTTTGGGATTGCAGTGCAGCTTCTTGCCACTAGGCCACCACGCTCCCAAAGATAAGAATTTTAAACAACAGATCACTGTTCCCACCTCCCCGCATGTAGTTCGAGCTGCTGTCTTCTCCTGCCTGGATACTTCATTTTTCTCTTTCAAACTCACCGCCATCTAGTCAGAGTCGACTCATAACTGACCTTCCAGAGGGTTTCTGGAGGCTATAAATCACATGAAAGGAGACTGCTCATCTTTCTCCCTCAGAGCAGATGGTGGATGCAAACTGGCTGAGAGTGGTGCCTCTGGATTAGCAGCACCAATTCCTAAGGCATATATTCCTATTTTGCAGTGAATGGTCTTTATTTTTTTTTAAAAAGGCAAAGGATTTCACTGTCATGAAACTCTTATAAAAGACAGATAAAGCACCTACTTGAAAACATTAATCACTTTCCTTCAGTTCCAAAAATTTCAATTATCAAAATTTAATTTTAAAAAGCTTGAGTGTGAGACCTTCTTTCTGAAGCCATATGACCCATGACCCAGAAATTTAAAAAAATAGTACACAGAGTCTAGTGTATTTAGTTAAGCTTACACATCAAAAATATCTGTAGGTACTGCCAAAAAAAAACATAACATTAACAACTCAATCTACAAAAACACACCTCTTGGTCATGCTCGGGATTCTTATATTATCACATCAAATTCTAGCAAAGTGGGAAGTCCATTCTTACCAGTTCAGCATTCTTTCTTCTAGTTCCTTTAGGAGATCTCGGTTGAGTTCATACAGTTGAGGCAGGTAGTAGAGGATTTGATTTAAAATTCGATCTTCAATCACTGGTTTTCCAAGCTGCCTAGAAGCATGAGCTACAGCATCCCGGAAATCCTAGTAAAGGTCAGAGAATAAACAATGATATACACACATGCCACTTGATAAGATGCTTTCTCCACAATCCCCCAATTGTTTTCTCCCTGAAACAAAAACTGTAAGTTAGTATTACCATTTACAAATGGAATGTGCCAGCTTTATCCTCTTCCAATCATCTATAAAAATGTCTGGTATCTTTTAAGCTTAAGGCTGGAAATAGTAACAATATGATCATTTCCAATCCAGAGGTACATGTTCCAATGCAGTTCCTATTCTTCATAAACGGTTTTGGTAAGAGGAATATTGTAAATGTGGATACATTTCCACTATTCCTCCTACGTGCCACCATATAGTGTTATTAGCATGAGCAGTTATAAAGCCATTGCCATCCTTTCTCTAACTTAATTATTTTTATTTTAAATTTAAATTTGTCATTAATTTCAGTAAAAATTTACAGAGGCTTTGGATTTCCATTCATTCATTGTTGCACGTTTGTCCCCTCCTAAGGCTCCCCCCCGGAACACTATCCTCTTGGAAAAGAAAAATTCTTTCATTGTTTTACAAACCCACCCCCAGGTCCACTCCACCATGAAGCCATCGCTCTAGACTCCTGTCATGACAGAAATACCTAACCACCTCTATTTTAAATAGTTTTCTCCCTCCTCTGTTTCACTGCAGTATACATTATTGAACCCATCTTACTCAGTCTCTCCCCAACCCCAAGGTCAGTACCATTCTACAACAGTGGCACCGTGCAATATTTGTCCTTTTGTGACCAGGATATTTCACTCAGCATGATGGTCTCCAGAGTCAACCATTTTGAATAATATTGCATGAGTTTCTTGTTTTTCAATGCAGCATAGTATTCCATTGTGTGAATATACCACAGCTTCTCTATCCATTCGTTCGTTGATGGGCACTTAGGTTTTTTCCAACTCCTTACTATTGTGAACAAAGCTGCAATAAACATGGGTGTCCATATATCTGCTTGGATGTCAGTTATGGTCTCTTCGGGGTATATTCCCAGTAGTGGAATTGCTGGGTCAAATGGTATCTCTATTTGCAACTTTTTGAGAAAGCGCCATACCGCTTTCCACAGGGGTTGCACCATTATTTGTTATATATTTGTTTAAATTTTTCCCTCTTTTAACAACTGCGATCTAGAGGAAAGAGAAAAGGCCAGAGAATGGCCAAAATTATTGGGGCAGCTATTGCTGCCAGTTTAGGGCCTGTGTCAGGAAAAGGAAGTATTACTCATATACAGTGCCACCCAAAGGAGGTCAGAATTGCTTCCACTGTGGAAAGCTGGGCCACTTCAGTAGACAGTGTCACAGACGAGAACCACAGATAGGCAAGGGAGTAGAGAGGAAGCTCCCACTCACTTGCTTTAAGTGTGGCTCTGAAGGACACTTGGCCAAGGGTGGCCCACATCAGGTTCTCGTGGCTGACAGGACTGACAGGCCCCAGCTCCCAGCTGGAAACAAAGGAGGACACTTCAACGATTTAGATTCTCCCAGAAGAGCTGTGGGTGAGCATTAACATTACTGGTAAGTATATTCATTTTCTCCTGGACACAAGAGCCTACTTATGGTCCTAAAAGCCTTCTGAGGTCCTAACTCTTCTCACTATTTCTAGTTGTTGGAATTGACGGAAAACCTCATAAGCAGTTCCTTACTTCACCTCTGCCTTGCATGCGGACTTCCGAGTTGTAAACCAACCCAGTGGTAGATGGAATTTGCTCCAGGACTTAAGAGCAATAAATGACATAGTTGAACCTCTACATCTTGTGATTCCTAACCTTTATAATATAACAGACAAAGTGCTAGTCAGTAGGCCTTTTATTATAAGAACTACCTTCCCCCTGTAACTTGATTGGTGCCACTATTAGAGCCTCTACCTGGAATATTATTGCTTTTCAACTTTTGACTCATGTACTTTTAACTTGTTAGTTAAATTTGTGTCTTCTAGGCTGCAACACTTCCATGTTATATCTTCAAGGATATGAACATGCACGGCTAAGCACAACTGATAACAGTACATCTAAATTCCAAAATCAATCTCCATAATAGTCTATGTGTTTCCTATTGCCAAAGGGGCCCTTTAGATTAGTGAGAGAAGATCTTCACCCTGAAACCTACAGCGTCCCTTTTCAGCAGGAAGTAGCTAAGAGAATACGCCATCCCCTTTTCCTTATGAATCAGGGTGAAGTCTCTCTCAAGGAGGAGTGATAGGGAATGGCAAAGGACACACTGACAAAGGAGATTAATCAGAACTGGCTTTGACAAGCACTGTGGCAATTGGACAATTAAAACAGACTTTCAAGGGGGGGAAAAAAAAGAAGAACAAACTGGGGAGGAGGGTTAGAGAAAATAGTCCAACAATGAATGAATGAAAACCCCAAATCTCTGTAAGTGTTCATTAAAATTAATAAAATTTAATTTAAAAAAAAAATGCCTGGTATCTCTCTCAAATCCCTTGCTTTGATTTCCAACTTGAACAACTACACTGGGGAGAAATCACAGCTCTCACATACTCATTGCCATCAAGTTGGAACCAATGCACAGGTGACCCTCCAGTAGGTTTTTAGAAGCTGTAAACTGTACTGCAGAAGACTTTCCACTGCTCTCCCTTGACACAGCTGGTGGATTTGATCTGACTGCCTTTGGGTTGTCAATACAACTCCTTATTCACTAGGCCACCAGAAGAGTATTAAAAATTATCTAAATACCATCAAAAGAACATAATTCATCCATTTAAAGTTTCCAGGAGATCTTAAAATTTAATCTGGATAGAAGAGTGCCTTTTCAACTTTAAATAATCATTACTCAAACTTTAAATCCCTCCAGCAGTGTTTCCCTAAGAAGGTGAGTTGCTAACACAAAGGCTCCCTTGTCATTGGAAACCATCAATGGCTCCAGGAAAAAAAAGATGGACACCTCCTACCTGTGGAACTTGCTCTTGTTGGTAAGTGCCTTCCAGACAACTACCTCTCAGTGACTCCATGAACAGATCAGAACTTGACACTACCTCGTATCACCCTCACAATCTGCCTTACACCCAAACTCACTAATTGTCATTGTGCCAATCTGTCCAGTTAAGGTTTCTCTCTTTGGCTGACTCCGTTTTCCCCAGTGTGACATCCTTCTCCAAGGATTAGCCCCTCCTAACAACATGCCCATGATGCCTAGAAAGGTGAGAATTAGCAAAAGCCTTTAACAGGATGGATGACATAGAAACTGTGCAACAGATCAAGTAGATCAGAAACGATGAGGGGCACAGGTTAGGACGGACTTCAGATCTGTTTTTCATAGAGTCACTATGAGTTGTACAATAACAACATGCCAAAGTAAGATGACATTTCACCATCCTTTCCTCTAAGGAGCACTCTGGTTACACTTTCTTCTAGACAGATTATGAGTTCTTTTTTGGCAGTCAGGGGATTTTCAAGACCCTCTGCCAACAACACAAGTCAAATGCATTGCTTCCTCTTCTGTCATTTTTATTCACAGTCCAACTTTCAGCTGCATAGGAAGCAACTGAAAAGATCATGTTGTGGATGAACTACACCTTGGTTTTTAAACTGTTATCCTTGCTCTTTAGAACACTGGCAGACCAACTTCTCAAATGCAACAATTTTTTGTTTGTTTCTTGATTGCTATTACCATGAGCGCTGATTGTGGATCCAAGTAAAATGAGGGTGGTGACAATTTCAATCTTTTCTCTATCTATAATGATGTGCCATACTGGCTCTGTGGTGAAGACTGTCTTCCTGACATTGAAATGTAATTCATGCTCAAGATTATAGTCTTTGAACTTCCATAGCAAGTATTTCATTTCATCTTCACTTTCTGCAAGCAAGGTTGTGTCACCTGTATAATGCACGTTGTTGTTGAATCTTCCTCTAAGTCTGATTCCACATTCTTCATACAGTCCATCTTCTTGAGTGATCTGATCAGTATACTGACTGAACTGATACAGAGAAAATATATAATTCTTTATGCACATCTTTTCTGATTTTAAACCATGTGACATTCTTTTGTTCTGTTCAATCATAGTTCATCTTTTGCAAGGTGGCTACAAGGTTTAATCTGTATGCAAAGCAAACAATCTGAGAAGCAGGACTTTATGAAGAACAACGTAACATCAGAAATGGAGGAAGATTCACCAACAAACTGCATCGTGATGGACAAAACTTTGCTTGTTGAAATCGAAGAGAACTTGAAACACTTGCTGTAGAAGACCAAACACTACAGTCTTCAATAGAGGTTATATCTCAACATCAACAAATCAAAGCAAAAATAAAGAATCTTCACCAGTGGCAGAATCAGGATGGACGGAGAAAAGTTTAAAGTTGTCTAAGATTTCCTCTGACTTGGTGCCACAAGCAAAACCCAGGGTAGCAGCAGTCCAAAATTAAGACATGTGTTGTCTCAGGAAAATTTGTTGTCAAGGACTTCCCCAAAGTTCAAGTTCTAAAGACCAAGGATTTCAGTCTATAAATTAAGATGTACCCAATGCAAGTCATGGTATATTAGGGATAAAACTAGTTAGTCATGTGGAAATGAGGCCAGGACAGAATGAGGAGGGGACAGGTGTTATCCAATGAGATAAGGAAAACAAAACCTCATGTTACAGAGGATAATAGAGGGCAAAAGTCAGGTGAAGTAGCTATGACCAGATCTGAATAATCAAGACTAGACAGGGGAACATTCCCTTATAACGAGGACCTCACAGTCCCGACAAACACAGGAAGGGCTGCTCCTGAAGCAATCTAATGAGCATTCTATGTGCGGGAGACTCTTCATGCAACCAGTGACGTCAGGAGCAAGAGATGTGAGGAAGAACCTTCAGCCAAGCTTTGAACTTAAGGTGACATCATCCCACTGAGTCAGACACACCCCTAAACACACCCAAACGAGGAAGTGAGCCAGTTACCTGTATCCTTACCCTCTCCCAGTACAAAGTCCCCGCCAGTCCTTTCTTTTCCGTGTAGAGTGACTTGTTGCTGAGCTTTCCTC